ATGCAAGGGAGAGCATAACGCCGACAGCTCTTCTTGCACTTTGGACTGTGCACACATGTTTCCTTTAGGGGATCCAGAAAAACTCCCTGAAAAGCTCTCTGTTCCAGCCTTTTGCTCTGTGGATCCATCCTCCAGCCACACGTCACTGCCTGACCAGCAAGCCCTTCCCAAATGCATCCAACTTGCTTGCAGCCAGCTTGCCCGAAGATGGAAGCTGTCCCAACAGCTGTATTGTCTGCAAATTTCTTTCCTCCTGAAGAGATGATAAATTGGCTCTTCAGGGCCAAAGAAAGCATCCCTGGGATCCCACTGAAGCATATCTGGATGACGCTGATGCTCCGGTGACAACCCACTATGTGAAACTGTCACTGTGGCCACTTCACTGCCTGGGGGGGTAGGTTTGTCCTGTGGGTTTTTAATTCATCAGGAGACCACGTAACTCCAAGTCATATGCTTGACAACTGTTGACATATACTGCTGACAACTGCTGAAATATTGCTTATGTCAAGCAAAATTTAAGTCTTCTTTTTCTTCCGGGTGAGATTATGTGTTAGTTTTATGGAATCCTATGGCTGCCCAGCAATAACCTCACTTCCTTACCAGATATTGCATTATTTTGCATATTTTTCATTACATGCTCCCCTTCCCTGCTCACCTTTGAAAAAGTGGCCAGCACCAGCCTTCTCCTAAGCAGCAAAGTCAGGTTAATTATCACTACCCAGTTTTGCTGGAACAGAGCTCAACCCAGCTCCTTTCAAACTTTCCAAAAGCAAGTTCTTTGACCCAGCTGACTTGAATAAGGTGAAGAAGCTGCAGTTCCCCAGCTGGGACAGCATTGAGATTGTTCTCCATCACTTCGGGATGGGCCTGCAATCATCAGTCCAAAATACCTGCTGGCCCTTCCCACCCGTCCCTTCTCCCCAGCAGCCTGCGGAAGAGGCAGGGGTTGCAACCTCCAACTGCGAGGCCCCTAAAGCCATGTCCCCCCATCATGTGCTGCTGTGGCCGTGATCCTACAGCTGCAGGAAGATGTTTTCACCTGTGTTGGATGCCCCGACAAGCTTCCCAGCCAGGCTGCGATGCCAGGACCCACAGCAGACTTGTAAAATGCTTCCAGGCAGAAACCAGAGCCTCGTTGCAGAGGTATTTATCCTACATTTATCCACAAACGCTGTTTCAAGCCGGAGCGCTGCCAGGCTTTTTGTGCACAGGCAAGCGCACTTTTCAACCAGCAGCGTTTTAAGGACGTTGCAGATTGCTGCCTAATCAGCCCGCGGTGCAAATCTGCACTGGGGCAGCTCACGAGACCGGAGACACATCTGGCACACCATGTCGGACGATAACGGAGCTCCACTCTGTGCTGCCACCTTTCCCCCAGCCTCTGACCCCCTGCACCAGACGTGCCTGATTTTCAGTGCAAATGCAAGATACGGACATGCAGTCAGGGGACGAGGGTGCCTATAGGGGCGGCTGCGGTGAGCTGCGGGAGCAGCATCTTGCAGCGCAGGGATCCTTCTCAAGGATCAGCAGCAGAGGTGGGAAACATATCGACATCAAAGTGCATCGCAGCCTGTTGCTTTGCCAGCTGGTTTTTTTGCAGTGGTGCTCCCACGCTGCCCCATCTCCTGCCACTTCCCGGAGAGTTTCACTTTCATTTTCACTTCCAGGTCCCACTTCCCAGCACCCAGTAGCCCAGCTGGGCCTCGCTTGCTAGCCAAGGCTGCAGGAGGGACACGCTGCAGCCTTTCCCTCTACCCACAGCAGGAGAGGAGCGCTTCCCTGCCCGTGCACATCAGACAGCCCGCAGCG